GATTTCAGTTTCTCTATATAAACCAGACGTTCGCTCCAGCCCCCGACCAAACTGTAAAAAATCTCTACGAGTGCTACGGAACAGATGGAAAACTGATAATTCACTACTGCAAAAGCCAAGCGTGGGGTTGAGATATGATTCAGCTTTTTCATTAAAAAAAATAGTTTCCATCACTTCAGTCTTCATTACTGGGCGCCAGTGACAGCTAGGCACAACTCATTCTTCTCCAAACGTCTAGAGGCATTGGCCTCTCTCAGAGACTCATTTCTCATAACCGGAGAGTTCTCCTGATTGACTGGAGTTTTCTCACCGCGACATCTGCAACTGTCCTGGGCCGGTCTTATAGGATCATATTCGCAGACCTCTGAATGTTTACCTACGAATATTTTTTATTCCATGTTTATAATTTCAAGAAGGATATTTAATTTTATTTACAGAAATTAAAGTGATTTTAATTTAAGATATTTACTCTCGTGAACAGTCCTGACACTCTCACTTCCAGATCGTTGACTGATCTTGTCAATGTTCTCTTCCTTGACCTCTTTGGAGTTCCTGGAGCTCCTCGAGGCTTTCGAGTGCTTCGAACTTTTTGCAGAGTCCAGGGAAAGAGCTATTGGACTTCTCCAGATGATCACTGCACCATCTGCACTTGCACTGATAATATGAGTGCCTTTTGGATCGAATTTGCAGGCTGTGATGATGGCAGCGTGACCTGTTCCCACGTAAGTCACCTCTGCTGTATGATAATCCCAGAATTTCAACAAACAGTCATTTCCACCGGTGACGAAGTAACGACCGTCAGGGCTTATGTCCAGACAGTTTAGGGCTCCCACTTTTGAACCCTCTGCTTCACGAATCAGTGAGCCATCCAGGATCTCCCAGTAACTCACCTTACGGTCGCTACCGCAGGTCAATATTTGGAGACCATTTGGGTGGAATCTCGCTGACATGTGCATTGTGTTCCCCATCATAATCTGTTTTCTACAGCAGTCACTACAGAATCATTTTTTCATTAATTTTACCAATTAAATTTTGCTATTCATAATTTTTGGTCGTTATGGATTTGTAATGTAATATTATAAATGACATTATAAGAAATGCCTAATAATTTAATTGGATTTTTATAAGATGAGGCACCGTAGCATTTTGTAACGCAAAAAAATGATTGCGTCGCCAGTTAAAGAATTTAAACACCATTAGCGATTTGTGTTGTCTGTTGTAAATTGAAACCGGAAAAAGTTTAAGAATAATTGTTATCATTACACGACATCCCAAATGATGCAAGTGCCATCAGAACTGGAACTAACGACTTCCTCATTACTCTGGGAAGCATGAAGAGCTGTAATGGGTCCTCGGTGTTCTTTCAGCAGAGCTTTGAGCTGTTGTACACTCTTCATTATTGTCCAGAACCTGACCTGTCCGTCACAGCCCCCTGTCACCAGTGTCTTTCCATCTTCAGTCAGACAGAGTGCAGACACAGCCTTTGCATGAGCATTTTCAATAGCGAAAAATAATTTGCCACTCTGTGGTTTAAACGCTCGGACAATTCCATCGTTCCATGCTAATGGTAAAAAATATAGAAAGAAGAAGAATCCTTGAAACAACGCAACGATTTTTTAAGTCGAAACTATTTAAGATAACAACAGCAATTGACTCAGTAGTTGAGTCTCAACGAGAAAAAAAAATCGTGCGTGACAATTTACCAGACATAATCAATTTTCCATCATGAGAGAAACAGAGACACGTGCATACAAAATTGGGTACTGTAATTCTCAGTAATTCCCTGCGCGTATCCAAATGCCATAATCGAATGTCATTTTTACTTCCTGTTGCAAATATCTCGGAGTAATTGCTGCGAATCATAATGATTAGAGATTATTTTTTTGGCGCAGGTGCTATTAAGTAGAATTTAATTACTGAGGGAATGCGATGTCATAGACTGCGTCGATGTGACACGTCAGGGTGATTCTGGGTGCGAAATCGGTTAAACAAATTTGATAGATTTCGCAGAAGGATGTGCCCACTACAAATGAGTTTTTACCGTGTCTCACGATCGATGTCACTGAGCCTCCGACATGAGCTTTCATCATCTGTAATGAGTAATTGAATTTTTAATAATTACCTAGGTGACTGTGAGGAGCAGTTGGTGGGGAATACCTCAAGTCGCGTATATTGTAAAAAAATAACATTTTCTCCTCAGTTTCGGAATATTTCTAGGTAATAAAATATACATTACTGGTTGTAATTGTGGAGTTGTGGGGAGTTTAACAGCTGCTTTGCACGATGAACTCATCGGATGGTCCAGAATACCTGCGAGCTCCACTGTCCCATCACCAGTGGCAACGATTATTTTTTTACCAGGGAGAACCAACAAATTTGTTATTCCACCGGAATATAAATCTCCATTTCCCATTTTCACTTTCTTCGGGTTCTTCGATATTTTTGAGTAGCATCCGATCATCACTGGAGGCTGCACCGGTTCCATTCTCGATAAATCATTGTCATAATTGAGTCTGAGGTGAGGAAAATATGACTGGATGAGGAAAATTCCTTCATGTCGTTTAATAAAAATGTCAAAAGTGAGGAAACTAAAATGATTTACAGAGAGGAGTGTCAAATATGACACGTGGAGAGAAATACCCAATAAACATATGACCGAGGAAAATATTACGTAACTGTAACGGAATTTTTTTATAACCATCCACAACTTCTTTCTGAATTTCTTGTGAAAATTTGAACCGCTACTGTTGAATATTTTTTAATAAATATTTTTCTTCGTGTATTTTTTTTACCGCGCTCTAATGATATCTCCAGTAGAAGTGCCGCAGAAGGCTTCCTCATCTTGTTCGTCGATTGTGATGCAATTGACAGATCTTCGCAGTTTTCCCACTTTAATGGGAACTCCGTACACTTTCCGTGTCTCTGGGTTGATTCTCCAGACTTTTAAATTTTCCTCTCCACCGGATATGAAGCATTGGTTTCGGTGATTCAGGGCGGCAAGGGTGATCGCGCTTCCAGATATTTCAGTACTCGCAGACGCACCTTTTTTTTTTTGACGCATTATAAATATATAAAGAGATATTCCGGCATTTTACTGCATGTACTTAAAGGAATTACCGCATACTGCTGTATTATTGGCGACATCCCAGACGATGATATTTCCATCGTCCTTGCCCCCTAAACTAACGAGATAAGTGCTCTCACAGGTAAAACAAATGTCTTCAACTTTAGCTTTATGAATTTCGTAACTCGCCTTCTTCTTCCTTCCATCGAATTCCCATATAATAACCGGAGCCTGAGGCAAAAATATAAATAAATTATCAAAAGATGTGAAAATTAAATTCTACAGCGATTGAACAGAAAAAGAAAATAAATAGATAAATCAAACTGGAAAAGATTCCGATATTTCTATTCGTTAAAATATGGAAAAAAAAGCATTTCTCTCCAAAAATGATGTTTTTGATTTTTTTTGATTTCGATGAATTAGTAGAATAAAGAAAAATAGAATTTGGACCATGACGAAGAAATCTACTTTAAACCCCAGATGCGTAAGTTGTCCTGAAGCGATGAACGAGCCACAGGATGAAACAGTCAAGGTCGTCACGACATTCGTGTGTCCAGCGAGAAAGTCCTGTTGACCACTGTCAATATTTCTGACAGTAATTTTGCTCCCCATCGAATAAATAAGATATTCCCCATCCGGATGAATATGCAATGCATTTTTCGTTCTCCCTGTCTCCACAAAAATGCAAAAAAATAACAATTGACACAAAATTAAAATCAAAGTGATCTACAAACCGTCGAATCCAATGATTCCGAGTAAATCCATCTCTTGCACATCCATTGAATGAAAAATTAATGAAAAAACGCCTGAGGAATGTTTTATTTATTCTAACAGAATTAATCATAAGTTTAGTCAATGATGATTGACATTTGGTGAAAACAATAATTCCCGCGTGGTTTCCATGGTAACGTAGGGCTTGCCAAAATGGTGGAATTGAATTTAGGGATCATTAAGTTGGTAACTCTGGGCTTTTGAAAGTTTAGGTGCTTCCAAAACGGTCGTTGAGTGCACAAACTCGCTGCCTCAGCACTTAGTACGTCAGATAAACAAACAATCGTGGAAAATATTATTACGGATGAAGATATACGACGTAAATAACAGCATGGACATGCTTACGTGAGTGCTGATTGATTTATCCATTGTATTTTCATTTTTTATCAAGTGGTGTGCGAGGCTGATCCAGACGACAGGATTAACCTGTAAATTTCTGTAGGATGAATACATGATTATCAATTTAATTGTATTCAAATGTCTTGTGTTGTTTGGTTTTATCCCATTGATTCCTCCAAGTTTATGGTTGAGAAATTATTTTCAGAAATCATTTTGAGAATTCAAGACGTGAAGACGGGATTTAACAATTGATCCACGTCAGCCTCAAGAATCCTAGGAGACAATTATATGGTTAAGAAGAGATATAAAGGGATTCTCTTTTTAGTCAATTGACCTTGAAAGCTCCAATTTATGGTCTTACTTTGGAATGATTAATTTCAATTGAAATCCGATAAAAACTGTTCCACCCATGACAACTGGTCCCACGAATGTCACATTATCTCAGTGACAAATGATACGATGGATTGTTAGATTTTCGTAGAGATTCTAGTATCGGTGTCCTTGGCAATTTTCATTATCCCGATAATGACCTAATCAGCTAGACTAAATGCTCCTCTCAAAGCTCTGAATCTATGGCAATTCCCACTATTTTCAGATCCCTCAACCAAAAATTCGGGTCCGCAGGAAGACTAAAAACATTCAAAAATTGGCCCTTCAATCACGACGTTCGTTGCAATCCAAAAGCAATGGCAGATGCTGGATTTTTTGCGGTGGATGATCCAGAGGAGCCGGATTTAGCTGAATGTTTTTTTTGTGGAAAGCAATTGGATGGATGGGAGGCGACTGATGATCCCTGGGAGGAGCACAAATCGCATCAGGCCAATTGTGCTTATGTTAAATTAAATAAAACTACAGAAAACGAATGGACGATCAATGAGACATTTGCATTGCTGAAGGAATACTACAGAAATCAGGGTGTAAGTCCCCCAATGTCTCATTCAATTCCATCATACTTCGAAATAATTCCTTAACGCGTAAAAAAAAAAAAACAGCTCCTGCGCTAGACTGATTTATTACCAACTTTGAGTTTAGAGATAAGACATTGCTGATTGCGAAATTCATTACGCTGGAATTTTAATCATGATGTTTATCTCCTGTGGACATCCGTAGAAAAATCACCCGCGTATTCAATTGGTCGCGATTGATTTTTCATTACTATCATTTACAGAAATCATACTCTATTTGATGTGCCTATCTGATGATCTAATTACTTTTTCCATTCTTTTCCACAGAATCAAAGAGTAAAATCTCTGAAAGACAATTGGAACGACGAGATGAAGTTACTGACGGCAGAAATTCCCCAACTCTTGCAAAAGTCAAGAAAAAACAAAAAAATCCTAAAATAATTCTGTATTAGTCAATTAATTATAAGTTATTTCGATATTTGTGAAATCTTTATATTTTTTTATCTTAAAAGTATTCCTAGATATCAGTGATGAAAGATCTCCTGATCTTGATGAATCAAAAATGGAAAAAAATCCTCGAAATATCGTATTTTATTGAATCTTTCACATTGATCAGAAGAAAAAAAGTTCGACATGTTGACAGCCGAATAAAAAACTTCCATCTACTTGATAGACATCGAATAAATAATCATTCAATCATAACTCGAGGACGTGTATTATATGATTTCATGATGAATACGAGTTCAGGTTAATATTTATTGTACTAGTATGCAAACGCAGATATTCCGGATTTTCCGTTTGTTCATTCTTCGGATTTTGTTCAACCGGAGAAGTCAGGAGCGAGACGACATGGCATCGTTAACACAGGTGGAAATTTTTCTAGATTATTCTCAATATGATATTATTACACGGATCAGGAGCACGGAGTCAAGGAGGTAGGGATGTTTGACATTAGAGATAAGGTATCTAATCAGGACTTATCGATTTGTTAAATCAGTGACACGTGTGGGGTGGGGCTGCAAATCAACATTGGCAAGGGAAGATTACCCATCACAATTTTGTGCAACACAACAGATTTGTTGTCTTTCCTTGTGGGGTGGAGTGAATTTGAAGGAAGAATTTTATTTATTCTATTCTACTATTAAAATCTAGCTTAACTTTGTTCTAGGATTCACACTCAAGAATAAAACGAAATTTCGGAGAGATGACTTTAAATTTTGTGTATTTTTTCCAGAACAGGGCGAAACCAGCGACCATTTAAGGACGGATGGAGTATTTCGGAAATATAATTTACTCCAAAATTGGGATTCCTAATTACTCCGCCAATTAATTGTTTTTTCCGATAATTATCAGCTAGCGTTCTAGTCGTTGACAACCGCTAGAACACTAGCTAACAATTATTGAAAAAAAAACGATTAATTGCCAGAGTAATTAGGAATCCCAATTTTGGAGTAAATTATCTTTTCTAGATACACCAACCGGTCCTTAAAGAATATTCTTAAAAGATCATTGAAATATCGTATCCCTCCGAAATTCAAGATGAATAAAAGTGGAGAAGAAACACAATGAACAATTTTTCGTGTCTGTTTTTTTCCATTTGATTCAGATAACCACACAGGAGTTTTTCAGACGAGGTTCCTCATTCACTTTATTTATTCGATTCAGATTAATCCATTAATCCACGAGATGTTCTTTGTTCACACGATTTATTTATTCTCGTCGCATGACGATAGATATCTCCCCACAATGCGAACAAAACTGATACTCGAATTGCACGAAATCAGTAGAATGCTTTTAAAATGATTGGAAATATTGGAAAAAATTAAAATAAATTTTCATCAATGTGTTATCAATGCGCTGTCTTGGCCGAGTGGCTTTTAACCAGATAACGATATGCCTGGGGATAACAACAGCCGTAAGGACTCAGTTCAAATACACTTCAACATCGAGACAGTGACGATTAATTGCACAAAGAATTTTTACCAGTTGATTAGGTGAAATTGAATGAGTGGGTTATCGATAGTGATATTTGCAATGGATGAATGACAGTTCACGCTGCAATAATCATGAGATGTAAGACTGTAACACCCGAAGCTATTCCCCTATTGCCAAAGAGGACTTATTCAACGAAAATGATTTTGTCATCAGTCCCAAGCAAACGAGGTAATTTAAACTTTCACTGTCAACTGACCCAATTGAACGATCTAATTTGACGTATTGCAATCACTTTGGCTTTGATTCGGACGTCAATGGAATATTGATATCGCAATTAATAGAGAAACCATTTGCTATCGAGATATGATAAAAATGTAATTAATCAAGTCGCTGATTAATCAGCCTGAAATTTATCTTTTGTAATCACGAGTCTTGATACGTGGTAATGAAATTCCCCAAATGTTTCGATAGTAGTCATAATATTTGGAATAGGTATCAGAGTTATTTTATTGTTATAAACAGAGGAATTTCACTCGTCGTTTTTGAGACACGTAATGTTGATAGATGTTGGTAAATTATCGTGTGCCAATTGGGGTTTGCGAATCAATTTCGTGCATTCGTCGAATTTACTTGGACATTTTTAAAAGAAATTTTTATATTTAGATCACGAAATGTTAATTGTTTTTTTTTATGTTAAGGCTCCGTTGGTCTCGAGAAAATTTATGCAGAGTTACGGCTGAGGATTAATTTTTTTTTGATGAATTCCCCGGTTTTTAATTAACTAATGAAATCCTGGAAATCCTTTTTTTTCCTCGTACTATAGTTATGGCATTTAGATTGACGTAGAAAAAGCTGATAAGTCAGATAAATAGTACTCAGAAAGTCAAATGTTTGAACGGAGGAAAGAACAATGTCTAAACTATTGAATATTCAATCTTTCGAGAAATAAAATAGTTTCAATTTTATTTTTCAGTTTAAAAAATCCAAAAATGTGCGAAAATATAAAAATTCATAATTGAAATTGAAATGACATTAATGAATTCAAGAGGAAATTGAATATTTCCACTGCTATCCGTTTTTTAGTATAAAAATCGAGTAAGAATTCCAAACGATCGATTTCTCGATCTAAATTTTCCTCATTCACAAAATATTTTCTTCTTCTCCCGAAGGAGCAAGGAAGTACTCGAATAATTAACGTCAAATTTTTTTAGCTTCTCTTAAAACTGTCTGACAGAAATTATTCTTGGCACCTATTAATTTTCACGAGAGAAAAACGTAAATTAATTTGTGAACATAATCATCGAGTTACCTCAGGGTCTTAGCAACAATAATAATTTCGCATTGTATAATTCTCGTAACCGACACCTAAAGATTATAAACCTGAAATAATATCAAGGATATGCACTTTTTGCGAATACTTTTATTGAATAATTCTTAGCGTACCAAAAAGAAAAAAACCTGTTGAGCATTGTCTTTAAATATTATAAAAAATTGAAAAGCTGTGATTAGACAAAATAAAATAGGATTATTTCGGCAAAATGTGTTGCTAAATGAAACTGTCAGCGTTTGACGCGCTAAATAATTGATCAGCCTCGATAAATTAGTAATAAAGCATGCAATAGCGATAAAATAAATGTCGAACAAATTCCCCCGTTATTGTCTCCATCGTGACTGGTGGGTAGGGATAAGGTGATACCGGTTGGCAGGATTTTCCCCAGTTATCTTTTTATTAATGATACGTACCACAGGTAATCGAAGTTGAAAAGAGTTTCAGTTCCTTATCTCCGGGTTTCGAGGCAAGAGTAGGATATCAAAAGGGGGGCCAGCGTCCGATACACATCGCTTTCCTCACATATAAAAGGAATAATAATTTGTGACAAATCCTCAGTGCCGTTTCATCGTTAGTGACGGTCACTCGGAAGTCACTGTTAATTTTATAAATAATTATCAATTCACCTCGCAGTGCAAGAGACCAGTGAATAACACCGAAACCACTGAAATTCTCTTGACAACAATTACCTCATTTTTTAAAATAATTTTGTATTCTTAAAAAACAAGGATAAAGCACTCGTTAAAATGTTGTCAATCTGGCGCGGTTGTTGTAAGTAAACAAAATGTCAAAACATTTATTCGTTGAGTGGCAATGGAACTGAGAAAATCAATTCGTATTATTTTAGCATTCATTCATTTTATTTAAAATCCGAATATTTTAAATAATTCCAATTACCATCACTACTGCCATTCACATGACTTTTTTTTTCAACTTAATAAATTATAACTTTACTAAATATTTCAGAATCTAAGAGAGATTGAAAAATTTTTATAGATAACTTTTTTGCAGTTTTCATTTTTCTCTGCAAAAGAAGTTATGACGGAAATTTCGTTATCTCTCTCAGCTTGATGAATATTCCTTGAAAACTATTAACGAACACAATTTACTCGTTACTTCTTCTTTCCATGGAAGCAATAAAAAATCTTGAAGAGAACGAACTGTTGATACGAAAAATTGAATGCAAAGATAATAGTAATTGCTGCTACTGAATTGTTTTCCACTAGTGAAAACCCAATGGATAACAAATAACTGATTATTTTCTAGGCATAAGAGTGCAGCAGCGATGGGTATTCGCAATAATGGGCTTCCTGGCGTTGTTCAATGCTTACACAATGCGCGTGTGTCTATCCATAACGATAACCGAAATGACAGTTCCCATAAATTCATCCCACAACTACGACAACACGTGTCCCGATGATCGTGTCAAAGAGAATTCAACCAAAGTGAATTCAACGAGTAAAATATACGACTGGGATGAGCCAACCCAGGGGATAATCCTGTCGTCCTTCTACTGGGGCTACGTCCTGACACATCTCCCCGGTGGAATGCTGGCAGAGAAATTCGGTGGAAAGTACTCTCTAGGTCTCGGTATCCTCTCAACAGCTCTATTCACGCTGTTTACACCACTAGCTGTTGAAATGGGTGGTTCAACAGCTCTGATTGTCCTGAGAATTCTGATGGGTCTTGGTGAGGGTACGACATTTCCAGCGCTGAATGCAATGCTTGCCCAGTGGACACCACCAGAGGAGCGTTCCAAGATCGGTTCCATGGTGTTCGCAGGTGCACAATTGGGAACAGTTTTCACGTCAATCCTCTCAGGTTTGATTCTTCATTATTCAGAAATGGGTTGGCCAGCAGTGTTTTACGTATTTGGAGCGATCGGTGTTCTCTGGTTCATCATCTGGACACTCATATGCTATAACAATCCAAATGAGCATCCCTTCATCTCCGAGGCTGAAAAGAAATTTCTTCATGAACGAATGAGTGAACACACCCATCAGAAACCACCACCTGTACCCTGGCGTTACATGTTCACATCAGCACCAGTTTGGGCACTGATAATGGCGCAGATTGGACACGACTGGGGATTCTTCACGATGGTTACCGATTTACCCAAGTACATGAGCAGTGTTCTTGGATTTTCCATTAAGAGCAATGGATATCTGTCGTCCTTGCCCTATCTCTGCATGTGGTTCTGCAGTATATTTAGCTCGTGGCTCGCTGATTGGTTGATAACAGCTGGACATTTGTCCAGAACGAATGTGAGAAAGTTGGGGACAACTATTGCATCGGTGGGACCTGGAATCTTCATCGTTGGGGCCAGTTACGTTGGATGCAACAGCTTCACTGTTGTTGCCATGTTCACTATTGGAATGACTCTTATGGGGACTTTTTATCCTGGTATGAAGGTCAATGCTCTTGATTTGTGCCCTAATTACTCTGGCAGTCTTATGGCTGTTGTTAATGGAATTGGTGCACTAACTGGTATCGTAACTCCGATTATTGTTGGAGAATTGGCACCTCAGAGCACCAATGATCAGTGGAGGCTTGTCTTTTGGATTGTCTTGGGTGTCTTTCTCTTTACCAATGCTATCTTCATTGCTTATGCCAGTGGAGATGTACAGTACTGGAATGATCCCGAGTTTGTGATGAATCTGAAGAGCGGGGAGAAGGGAAAGAGGGAGCTCAAGGAACGGAATAATCACTGCTGATTAATTATTTTAGATTAATTCGACTCTGGGAGAGGATGAGATGAGAGTGACGAGTGCAGGTTTCGGGTCGTTCAGTGCAGAGGCTCGTGAGAAAAATTGGTGAGAAAAATGGTGATAGGGATTGTGATAATAATTTTTTTATCTTGAATGGGTTTTGTTGGGTTTTTTTAGGAATTTTGCGGAATGTCATAGCTCAGGCATTTCAACTTTAGGATCGGTTGGCCTTGAATCTCTTCTAAGTTGAGAGAGATAGAGATTTTTTTTTGTAAAAGTTAGGGCAATCTTTTTTTTATCAAAGCTGTCCATCGAAATTTTTATAAATATAGTAGTAGTTTTTTGCTTGTTCAGAAATTATGGAGTAAGTCTCGGCTATTTTTTTTCATGGGTTTCCAGAGATAAGGAGAAGTTGAAAATTGAGATAAAACTTTTAAAAGCAAGATTTCACATATTATTTTCTCCGCAATAAAGTTGTCAATCCCAAAATCGTATAGCACTCGTCATATTTCAATTGAAGATTCAACCGATATTCGGTAAAATAGAATAATGAGAGAAACAAATTATCTTGTTCTTTTACTGGAACTGAACTACTCATTTAATCTAGCATTGTTTGCATATTGACTGCGTCGAATGCTGTGGCATTCTAGCTATAGGATCCAAAAAATTGTACATAATTTTCCAACCGTTGTATTATCAGTCATAATTTTTCTAATCTAATATTTATGATCTCCGTTTTTGATTAGCCTTTAGTATTTGATTACGCTATTCTCAAATGTCTCAAGAGCTTTCGATATTTGCGATTAACCGAGCATTCTTTCTGATTATTTTAAGTCGACTGTAACTGATAGTCATCGGGACTTTATCGGTTTATGGCAGTAGCTCATCCCCAGGATTCACCGAGTAAATAATAATATTGGCATTTTTCCATTGTATCGAGATGGATCAATGGATTAACACCTTCATGACAATTTACACGGGAAAATGGTGGGAAAATATCTGATAAAGTAGTCGCTGTTAAGAGTATATTGGCTATCCGAAAAATAGCGTAATGACTCGTAATGACATTTGTAAAAACGACGATAAATATTGTGCGTTGTCATGACTAAATTAGGTGAGCTCGATGCGCTGATCAGAAACAATCAGAAGTCATAAAATAACTTCTGATGATTCTTCATGGATATTTTATCTTATCGTCATATGATTTTGCGGTACCTCGCTTTTGAGGAGATTTTATCTCCATTTCAAGAGGACAACCGGGAAAAATGGAATTTCCGACCTTGGGCCATTGCTCTCAATCCATTGGCTCTCACTATCTAATTTTTTATTGTTAATAATAGTGATTGCTCCATAGCTAGAGCTCGCTGAGTGATTTTTTTTTTTCACTCATACCCTTGGAGTATCGATTACTGTTTTTGCTAACAATCAATTTGTTAAACTCTGGTCCTCTGGATTTAATTGTTTATAATGGATTTTCCGCATTTCGAATATTTTCTCAGGCCTTGATGAGCTGGTGCTTGAGTCGTTGGCCTTCATGAGCTGTTGACTTGGCAAAATTTATGAAAAAAAAATGTCGCGCAATTTAGCCATCACTTGACATACATTGATTGATTGATTTTTATCTTGATTTTTTTATTTTTATTCGGAATTGAGGGGAGAGCGATTATTAACGGGAAGACAAAGAGTGGAATGCGAATGAGATGAATGATAAATATCTGCGATTATTGGTAATGATAAGGTCTTGATTGATTCAGTATACATTTTATTGATTCATTCATTCATTTTTAAAAGTCCATTGTTACAAAATTATACTCGAATTTTTTAACAAAAAATAGTCGTAACAATAATTATTTCCATGGAAATTAAAGCTAATTGGGAAAACCAAATGCATCTGGTCCGTAAATTGCAAAAAAATTTATTACTATATGAAAAAATATATATATATCGAAGAATATATAATATAAGAATATATATAAGTTTAGTGTATATTTTAGAGTACATTCTGTATATATTTTGGAATATATGAAATTGGCTCATCTTGTATATTTTCTGAAATATATTTGTCGATGGAGCCTAGTTTCGAAGAATTTATTCACATTTAATTATTGTATAAAAAATGTGTTTCCAATATTTGTATAATATATTTCTCATTGTTTTCTTCCGACCATGTATTTTGCAATATGTTAAATAAAGGGAATGTTTTTTGAAAATTCTTTTCACCTTGTTTATATATCATTGATACTATTTACATATATATTCTTAATATATATTGTCTAAACATTAATAGCTATTAGGACGCTAATTTCCATGACTGGTATAAGTAAATCCATTTGGATGATTAATCATAGCTTAGACAAAAACAAAATAATTACCTAATGAGGTACACTTCGTACTCATTTTTTTATGATTCATAATCTATGACCCAATATTATCTCGTTAAAAAAAATGTATAGCACATCAAAGTGTTTAATTTTTAAACAATATTATTTTTTATTATTGCAATTATTATTAATGAAATATAGAGATATACATGAATATATATACTAATATAAATATAAAATAATATCTATTTACGTATACATGTGTATGTGTAAATAGATATTATTTGAAATGATGGATATATTAAAAAAAATTAGAATTAGAAATACCAGTCCTTAAAATAGATGATAACCGAAGCAAATGGGGATGTCCCCCCGTATTGGTTGTGAGATAAGTGCGATGGGTCTCTCTTATATTCGTTTGATTGACCATCACATCAGTCTGATTGTGTAGGGCCTACACTGTAGACTAACGGACAGCTCAAAGACCAGATCGTCCACGTCTCTTCAGTCAACTCTTGAATTATTAGCGGTCAAAGTTATCGCATAAAGGTAACGCTAAATTACGATTTTTAAAAATTACTCTTATCTTTTTTGGAAAATGTAGAATTTTTTGGAAATCATGAAACTGGATTGGGATTTAAAATTGAGATGAAAATCTTCCACTTGCTACGTACCTGAAAATTACAAATGAAGATTAAGGCTCGGGTGGATTATCTAGAAAAGATCATTTACTCCGAAATTCGGATTCCTAATTACTTTGGTAATTAATCGTTTTTTTTTCAATAATTGTTAGCTAGCGTTCTAGCGGTTGTCAACAATTAGGACGCTAGCTAACAATTATCGGAAAAAACGATTAATTGACGGAGTAATTAGAAGTCCCAATTTTGGAGTAAATTATCTTTTCCAGACAATCCATCCGGGCCTGAAGGCTC